GCCAAACAGGAGAAAGGGCGTACTGCACAGGAGAAGAGAAGAAGAAGAAGAGATTGCATTTATACCCTGCCCTTCCCTACCCAAAGGAATCTCAGAGCGGCTCACAATCTCCTTTCCCTTCCTCTCCCCACGACAGACACTCTGTGAGGTAGGTGAGGCTGAGAGAGCTCTTTCGAGAACTGCTCTGAAGGAACTTATGACTGACCCAAGTGACCAGCAGCTGCATGTAGAGAAGTGGGGAATCAATCCCGGTTCTCCCAGATTAGAGTCCATGCTCCTAACCACTACACCAAACTGGCACCACTGACTGGAAGCTCCTCCTGCCCATCAAAATAAACAGCAAAAGAAGCAGCATTTTCCTTCACCACTATTTATTTCAAGGTGCAAGGATTATGCGCATGCCTTGAGCTGGATAAGATCTTGGCTGATTATTCCTGACATTGTTAGACCACCACTGGGGTTGTTGTGTTGTTGTTTTTTTGGTGAGGGGCATTTACTAGCCTGGGATGGACCAGACACCTTGGCCCAGTCTCTTAGGTTACACCTCAACACCCAAACTCACATGGCTCCGCCTCCTTCACTGGCATTAATGCCCAGATCATTCTCTATCCTAAACATGGCTGCTGCCAGAGGAAACCATCCAGGCACTTTCAGCTCATGAAGCTGGATGAGGTAGATGGAGAAGAAACAGTGTGGCTTTACTAGGGCTGCTGGGGAGACCTGAGTTGAAAGGCTCTCTTAGTTCATGAAGCACAGCAGCGATTGAAGCACAGCAGCGATCTCTCAGCCTAAACTACCTCACAGGGCTGTTGGGAGATAAAATGGAAGGGAGAACCATCTGTGTCCTTTTAAAACGGACAGGGTAGGATAAAAACGTGATAGCTAAGTATGGCTGCGTACAACAGGGATCCCCATCACGGTAAGACTGATGTAGAATCACAGAATTACTGAGTTGGAAGGGATCTAGTCCAACCCCCTGCACAATGCAGGGAAGTCACAAATACCTCCCCTCCCACACACACATCCCCAGTGACCCGTTCCATGCCCAGAAGATGGCAAAAAACCTCCAGGATCTCCAGCAAAACTGGCCTGGAGATAAATGTGCTTCCTGGCACCAACCTGGATTTTCCCCCTATGCCAAACCTGGCTTTCCTCTTCTTCACTGGAGTAGGCAGTTTTCAGAAGAGCCCAGGAGGCAAAACTTTTATATCTGCAAGGGCTACCTCCACCACAAGGGGATGCTTGGCTTTGGACCTCTTAACATTTAGTTGAACAGCCTGAAGTTTTGTGACTGGATCCAGTCCCACGGCAGCCATTTTGTGATTGCCACTATTCCCCATGGCAGCCTTTTGGTTGTGGTGTTCAGTACCCTTTTTTCCAAAATTCCAAAAGCACCCAGAGGTCCAGTGATTCTGGGGACTCCTCCTCTTCACCTCTAAAGCAGTCTTCCGCTACACTAACATTCATTCTCACTTGAATCAATCCCACCGAGGGTGGCCGAGAAAAGCCTTGTTCTCCATATGCTGTTGAAACTAACACTACTTATGCAGAAAACTGCGCCTGAATTCATGGAAGCTTGCTATTTCTTGCTATAGAAGGGCATCAGCCTCCGTCTGCCAAGCGAGAAATGCCGCCGCTCAGCTGCCGCTCTCTCGCAAGGTGTGCGTCAGACATCTCCAGTAAGGCAGAAACTGCCGGAGGCCACGGCCACCTCCTCCGTCTGAGATAGCATTGTGCGCTCCCCCTCCCCGGCATGCCCAGACGAGGGGAAAGAATCCTGAGGTTTGTTGACACACTCGGAATTATTAATAGCAAATATTGCATATATTCAAACAAACTCCTTTGGTGGGAATTATTTCAGCGGAGTGACTTGCACAGCTCCAGCTTGCCAAAGGGCACAAAACAGGGAGCTGGCTGCGCTCTAGTCTGAGCACTACGTCCTCCTCCTCACAGGTGGGCTTGCTTAATTTGTCATCTGCTTACGGCAGATCCTGCGCCCTTTCCAGAGGCATCATACTGTGGGCTTCTCTCATCTAGACTGCCGTTAACCCTCTTCCTTGTTGGCTTCCCCTCCTACAGTCCCTCTAGAATGCCTCTCCTTACAAAATTATGCACGGTGTGGAGAAATCAGATAGGGAGAAGGGAAAGTAAATTATTTGCATGCTGCGATGAAAGGTCCATAGCACTCTACAGACACAATCTGGCTGCAATCCCTGCAAAGGCAGCCAGTATTATTATCCCCCTCTTGTGGGTGGTGGGCAGAAGCTCAGAGCTAAGGGCTGATTTTGTGAATTCCTGATGGAACTTTTTTCACCCTCCTCCATAATACTAAGAACCACCCAGTACTTCCTACATGTGTTTGCTTCATGGAACTGATTACCACCAGATGCAGTGGTGACTATGTTACCCAAATTGGGGGGTCTCCAGATTTAATCGGGGGGAAATAGCAAAATTGGAGACAGAGCTTGATGTTCTTCTATGGGCACTCCAGCAACCTCAGCAAGGAGGCTGCTGGAGTGCCCACACAACTACTGTCTTAGATACAGCTTTAAAAGAGGGTTAGACAAAGTCATGGAAGAGAGGTCCATAACAACTAGTAGCCACAACAGGTAAATGGAACCTCCATGTTCAAAGGCAGTATACCAGTTGCTGGAGG